GAGCACATCAAAATCTAAAAATAGTAATAAATTTTTATTGGTCAAATTTTTGATCAACAATTACTCAAAAAAAAAAAATCAGCTGGAAGGTCGATTTTCCTAGTACAGACCCCATATATTAAATTATTAATTACATTATATAATAAATAATCATTAATTTTATTAGGGTGATCAGTTTCAATTTTTGTTTAAGTCTTTCTACAGTCTTGTGACTTACTGATATACCCATTTTGACAATATGTCTATTGATTCAACTGTTGCTCCAGATGATGATAAGTATAATCCAATTTCAAGTTGTAAAGAATTAATAAACTTATTTCTCAAACCAGCTAACAAGTAACAAAATACAACAACATTTTTTTTAGCATTCTCCTTATTAAATTCAGATCTATTAGTTGGCACAACATTTCAATTAATTCATCAAAAAATCCAATCAATATAGGTTGGTATTTTTCAATCATTATTTTAAATTTATCTGGAGTAATTCAAGTTTTGAATTAAAATCCCTTTGAAGATAAAATAAAGAATCAGATAAAATTTTAATTTTATAACTGAATCTATTAGATTTACTAATTTGATTATTCTATAAACATTCAATTCTGACTCCATATTAAATATTTTTTGCAATAAAAGATCAAAATTATCTTTTGTTAAATTTGGTTTATCATTTGTCATACCAACTTTTATATCTGACCAATTTTCAAAATTATTTGAAGAATTATCATTTTTATTTTTTAATAAATCAGACAAATTAGTTTGGTAAAAATTTGATGATTATTTTTTAAAACATTCCTGTCTGGCTCTACAATCATTAAATAATGTTTAAGACATATTTTATCACCAATATTTAGATAATTATACATAGAAAGTGTCTCTTTTTCTTCAGATTTTTTTTTGGCACCAGGTGTAAATGTTCTGATATCTTTGTTTGACTCACAATCCAAAACTTGACAATAATTGGGGCATATTGCAATAAAACCAGACAAAGTGAACATTGGTGTTACCAATAATTTCATGGATTAAAATTTAGTATGATTGTAGTGCAATTAGTTTATGATGTCTCATTTTGTTATCTTAAGTGATACACTCACTGGACAAAAGTATAGGGACACCTGCAGATCATCACAAATAATTGAATAAAGTGACATGACAAAAACTAAAAATTTTACTATCCCAATCACACTTGCTTATTAAGTAAAAATTAATCTTCATAGCAAATACTATAATATACTGAAGTTTTACCGCATACAATTAGACCATTGTTGTTTTACAAACTTTAAAAGATAAACAATAAAATTCCAGAATTTTTTTAAAAATCTTTAACTCAAAAATTGACCACATTAGCAAGTTCTAACTACCTTTGTGGTATAAGTGAAAAAAGTTTCTCATGTCTAAATCTAGTTACTTCTAAAATTTCAGAGCATTTGGTAGATTAATTAACGAGAGAAAAAATAAAACGTAAAAAAATTCACAAAACAATTCAACCTCAAACTGCTCACTAATTTGAAACATAAAAGACATCAAAAAATATATGAAACTACTTTAAATTAATTGTATTTTATTAAAAAAAAATCAATATCTTGTCGGGTTTCCTCCACTTTTTAAAACAGCATCAACCCTTTGTGGCATACTATCTATTAATTTATTAATTTTTTCTGGATTAGTATTAAACCACTCCTCTTTCAATAAATCAAATAATTCAATCTTATTTTTTGATTTATAATTTTTTAATCTAAGTCTTCTTTTTAAATCCTGCCAAAAATTTTCAATAGGGTTGAGATCTGGGCTTTGTGCAGGCCAGGGGAGAACCATGACGTTATTATTTTCTTTCCATATGTTTGCAGCAGCTGCTTTATGACATGGTGCATTATCTTCTTGAAAAATAAATACACCATCACCATGATTACACCGATCTTCTGCACTTAATTCGTCAATAAAAGGTAATAAATTGGCTGCAAGAAGGTTATTATAATTACTTGCATTTAATTTACCTTCAACTAATACTAATGGACCCATTTTTCTTCTTGTAAAACAACCCCAAACCATAATTCCATCAGATTGTTTTACTGTTGGACTTAAATAATTTTTTTTATATTTGTCTCCTGACATTCTCCAAACCCAATCATTTGAATCGTTTTGAAATAGTAAGAACCTACTCTCATCACTGAATATATGTTGGCTATTTCCCTATAAGAAAAATTCGCCTTTTTTAAACCAATAATTTCTCCACGTTCAAATCAGATAATTCAGTACCTCTGGGCATTTTAAGTCTTTGAAAAAAATATGGTTTAATTTGGATAAAAATTTGCTTCGCGATTGCAATTTAAAAATTTTGCAAATTTTTTTTTTAATCTTCAAAATTGGAAAAAATCAATCCGTTTAGTGTTTTTGTCAATAAATTGAGTAATAATGTTGCGCACTTTGTGAAATTTTGCAAACAACCAGTTTCGAACATGGCAAGCATTTTTTAATTATGCCATAAAAGATGTTAGAAATTGCTATTATAGTCTATTTTTGAGTTAAAGATTTTTAAAAAAATTCCGGAATTTTATTGTTTATCTTTTAAAGTTTGTAAAACAACAATGGTTTAATTGTATGTGGTAAAACTTCAGTATATTATATTATTTGATATGAAGATTAATTTTTACTTAATAAGCAAGTGTGATTGGGATAGTAAAATGTTTAGTTTTTGTCATGTCACTTTATTCAATTATTTGCGATGATCTGCAGGTGTCCCTATACTTTTGTCCAGTAAGTGATTATTAGGTAAAACTGTCAACTGTTTTTTCATAATACCTAAATTTTACTTCTAACCATTTAATTTTTACTTCTTACTTTTGAGAATGGTTTAGTAAGGAGTAAAGAGTTATTTTGGTCTTTCTACCAACATAATACACAATTTTGTAAGGAAAAAAACTAAATATATTCAACTATTTATATAAAAGCTTTATCGAGATTGTAAAATAATAAATATAGTATAAAAATTAAAAGGTGATCTAGAAAAAAAGAAACTTTCAAACTCCTGATTTTCAAGGGCTTAAATCAAAAAACTTCTGTTAATTTGATATTAATGTTAATAATGATTATGAAAAGCAAAACAATATCAACCATTTATCATCATCAAGAGTTTTCTATAGTATAAATATCTAAAGAGACACTATAAATTCTGTTCCATCCACATTTTGATTTCAATAATATACATTTATATAAAATACTAAGACATATTCATAAAAATAATAAAAAAAATAAATACAATGCAAATAAAAAAATAGTACATTTTGCTATTAAAATCATGTCTTCTTTAGAGAACCATATCAAATAAAACAATATTTACATTTCTCCATCTTGTAAAAAATAAATTGCTTTTCCCAAACAAAAAAAAAATGCAAATTTATTTTTAAAATTTTTAGGCATATGTTGCTCCACCACCATTGTTTCTCCTCCTTTTCCTCCTATCAGGTTCTTCCTTGTTATTATGTGGTTGTTGATGATGATCATCATCATTATCTGTTGAGCTATGTCTTATTAAACATTCATTCCATGCAGCCTCCAATGCATCCAGGTCTCTCAACCAAAGGCCTGCAGCTGTCATGTTTGTATCCACTTCATGTTGTTTTTCTCTAATTAAATATAACTATTATCACAAATAAATAAGTGAATCAGTGAATTGGTAAAAACATATCATGTGTATGTATTTATAATAATAAAAAATCCAACAAAATTCAACTCACCCTTCTTTTTCATAAAAATTTAATCTTATTTGATAAAACTCTTCTAATATATCTTCTGGTGAATACTTTTTTAATTTACAATCCTTATTAAAGCACGTCATGTTTGATGTTGATAATGAGGACTTTAATTTAAAAAGTTTTTCAAGTCCCTTGTTCTCAGCATACTCCATTTGTTCAGGTGTCATTTCAATTTGAAAGTACACATTTTTGTCTGTATACTTATCTATAATGTTTACAATAGTTCCATTTTCTCTGAGTTCATTGAGTACCTTTGACCTATAATCTTCAGTCCATTTATGGACTGGTAACTAAAGACTAGTGCCGTAAATTATGATGATTGTAGTAATTGTATTTACGGCATATAAAAAGTGGTTGCAATTACCTTTGTGACCACTTTTGCAACCATACTTTTTCCTTTTTTGGATTACGACACTAGTCTTTACTGGTAACTCAGTAATGAGAACATTAGTATCACTTGTTTTGGTAATTTTTCCATGTGTTGTGTACTTGTTAACTCCAGCTTGTTTTATCTCCCCACAAAATCCACAATACCAAGTATGCATTGGAACTATATCTTCACCATTAATTTTCCTTTGCAAGTTTTGAATGATGTCTGTAGGGTTAAAATTAGGGATGTTGGTGCTCCATCCTGTTCCTATACCTTCTGCACCATTAACAAGGACCATTGGGATAACAGGCACATACCATTTTGGTTCAATTTTCATACCATCTTCACTCAAATATTCTAACAAAACATCATCATCTGGGTGATAAATCAGCCTAGTAAAGTTTGAAAGTTTTGTTTTGAAGTAACAAGCAGCAGCTACTGCTTTTTTACCACCATCATTTCTATTTCCAAACATTCCTATTGGTTCTAGCAAATTGTTATTATTGGATCCTACAAAATCTTGTGCAAGTTTAATTATGATGGCATGTAAACTGGATTCCCCATAACGGTATGCTGTTTTTTCAGAAACATAGCCTGAAAATTGTGTCACATTGATTGGTTTTGTCAGGTTCTTTTTTATGCACCCAAACAAAATCTTTCTTTGCCCTGGTTTCAATCCATCCTATAACTGATGGTATTGAGCAAATATTATCATAAAGAAAGAACAAGGATAATTCATTGTTTAGGAAATCCTTGATTGTTCTTTCATTGTTTATGTATCCTACATGTGTCTCTTCTTTTTTTATTTTTTGAAGCCAGTCTCTATGTTCATCAGCTTTGTTTTTTGCAAATGCCATCTCTATTAACCTGTGGTCCTCTTCATCCATTGGTCTAAATTCCTTGGCATGTTTGTTGAGATCACTGAAATATTTTCTGGCCTCTTTGTATGTATAGCTTCCAAGACCCTTGTAATACTTAACATCCCACCCTCTTCCATCATCATTGTGTCTTTTCCATTCTTCATATTCTGCCAATGTGAAAAATGATATGGTGTTGTTGTTTTTTGGGCATTCTATTATCAGTGTTATGAACTCATGCAAGAACCCTGGCTGTCTCAGTAATGATGGATAAAAATTATCAAAAAAATTGATTATGAGTCCTTTTATGTGACTGCCGTCAGGATCTGGGTCAGTCATTATCATCAATTTCCCATATCTTAACTCATTCACTGAGTCATATTGTTTGTTGCATTGGAGCCCCAATGTTTGTTTTAGTGCCTGTATCTCTTCATTCTCAGAAATTTGTTTCACAGTGGCATCATGTACATTTAACAGCTTTCCTCTTAATAAATATACACCCCAGTCATTACATCCAACAATACTAAAACCAGATAAGTCAAATTTCTTGGCTATATCTCCTTCTACTAACACTAGAGTGCAGTCAGATGAGGAATCTGTTCCTGCATTTGATGCATCCTCTAGTTTTTCTACATTGATTGTGTTTCTTTTTGCACCATCAATTATTCCTAATGTCTCTTCAAACAAACCAGCCTCTAATATTTTTTTAATAAAATCATCATTAATCACACTCTGACCCAAATGAAGCTTGTTTTAACATCAGGAAATTTTCCCACCACAATATTACGTCCATAAATTTTAATATTGTAAAATAGTAATATTTGCATAAAAATTATGTAATATTTACACTTGATGTAATAATTGCATAATTTCTGTATGCTTATTTGCATAATATTATGGGCCTGCTGTAAACTTACGTAAATAGTGTAATAATTACGTAAATCCATGTCAGAAAAATTTCCTGATGAATGTCATAAATTCTTTCATATGTGTGTCAAAAACAGGATTCTTGATTAAACAATTGATGAATATCCAAATGTGATCTTTAATTTGATTGGGTCTAACTGTTAAATCTCTATTTTCTTTTTCAATATGCTCCAAAAGTTTTTGCAGTTATTTGATCAACAACATATTTGACATGACTTCCACCTCTAGATGTACATATATTATTTACAAAACTCATCTAATTGTTATTGTTGCAGTTATTTTTAGGGAAGAAGGGAAGGAATGAGTGAATGAGCAAACAAAATGGATAACAAACAGGACATGAGTATTTGTAATGTATAATATAAAATTACTTACTTGCTGGAACTGTCCTTGAACACTAGGTACAATGCTGACTTCCCAGTGTTCACCAAATTTTTCATGAACAACATTGGTTTTTGAAGATCCAGCATCTACTGATTTCAGATACATTTGAACATATTCCTCAAAAATCTTAACTTGAATATGTTTATTGTTAAGAAAAACCTTGACATTTTTTACTGTTCCTGCTATATCATATACATGTTTATTTAATAAAGCAATTGTGTCATTAGTCAATTTTGACATCCCTAATTTTTCAAAATCTGGATTAAATGATATCTTGGTGCATTCTTCTTTTTTGTTGTAAGCAGTAATTTTTGGTTTGTCAGTTTTTGTCATATTTTTATAAAAAGATTGAACATATTTTTTTTCCCTGGCCATGTCAATAGTTTCAACAGTAAATTTAGTGCTAAATGTATTTGCAGATTTTGCATCAAGGCCATTTCTTCCACCAGTAAATTTCTTTTCATCATCATTATAATTTAATGATGTCATAAGTTGACCAAACAATATCTCTGGCACATAAACATTTAATTCCTCATGGATTTCAATTGGAATGCCTTTACCATTATTGTATACAGAAATTTGACCATCATCTTCATCAATATTAACATTTATTTTATTCATTAAGGGATCTTGTATCTATATAAAATTTGTATAAAAATAAATTTTGAAAATTTGTAAGTTATAAAATATTTTTTAAAAATGAAAATTTTAATGATCATCAATACCTTATTGTCAGCAGCATTAACAAGTATTTCATCAAAAATTTTAAAAAAAGCTGGCACATAATTTATTTCCTTATGCTCCAACTTGTCTTCCTCGAGATTATATATCCATTGTTTCTCAGTAATGTCAACAATGGAGCCAACATATGTATCAGGTCTTTTAAGGACATGTTGAAGTGGCATTAATTTCACATATGTTTCTTCAATAGTTTTTGGAGAACTGAATAAATGAAAAAAGACAAAGTTATATATCATGAACCAGAATGATGAATGAGACACATTGATATATTGAAGGAAAAAAATTTTTTGAGCATGAATTATTATTTCTAAACTAGAGTGACAATGAGTGGCGATACCCACCATTCTTACAATAAACTGGAGTGACGACAAGTGGTGGGCAATAACCACCACCACTATCCTTAAAACACTTATCCAACAACTGCATCTGAAGCATTGTTGCTTCCGCTTCTTTTATTATTTTTGTTTTTATCTTTGGGCATCTTGAACAAAAAAATTAAAGAAAAAGAAGTTTGTGATATGATTGATGCTTACACATTATTAATTACACAGTGAATCTCGATTTAGCAGACCTTGATTTAGCAGATACTAATTAAAATCTCAGTTTTACGGATAAAGTTCAAAGAGCAGTTTCATAATAAACCTTAATAAAAACCTTCTCAATATAGCAGATATCTCAGTTTAATGGATTTTTGTAAAATTTTCCTTAATTGCCCAAACTATCCATTAAATCGAGATTCACTGTGTATTTATCCTATTGGTTTTTTTTGGTATATAGGACAGACATGATTGATTTTTTTTTTTTTTTTTTGGAAAAACAATTTATTTTTTGACAGAGTCCAAGGTGACAAAATGTGAGTGTTGTTGTTTGGTTTAGGTCTCCTAAAGAAAACATGTTAATAATAGAAGTACGATTTTTTACCTGTGTTGATATGTATGTGGTGTATTTTTATTTTAGCTTATAAATATTTTAATTGGAATCAAAACGCGGAGCAGATCTTGCTGGGTAATTACAAGATTTTCA